GAGCTCAGAATTGTTGTAAGCATCGTCAATTACAGTTGTGAAAATGGTCCGCCGTCCGAGGGTTGTTACAATCTCCACTGCTTTGCGTTCTGTTTATCTGTTTTTCTAATAAATTCATCAAATCCGTAATCTATTGATCATTATTCCGATTATTCAGTCTCAAGATACTTATCTACATATAAAAGTACCAAATATTCCAGGATTAAAATTAGATTAGTGTGTTTTCATGCTCTACAAGATTGTAATGCAACGGTATTTTTTATTAACACTGGAACTACCGAACGAATGGTTCGTTCCTGATTTCGTCTTTCACAGTCACTGAAATTACAAAAATGATTCCTCTAATCAATTTCTTCATTCAAGTGGATCTACGATTGTAAGGAAAACGCAGCTATAAAATATAGAACGTGCGTATTTATCAGAACAAACTCTTGAAAATAAATTCGACGAGCTCAAAAAGAGACGAGGATCGAGACGACGTTTAGTCGCGTTTTGGTGCTCGGTAGTTTTAGTGTTAATGACGAACGATTATCAAGGGACCATTTATTCTTAAAAGGAAAAATTCTGAAAATTGCCAGGGTTTGGTATGCTTATGACACGCACTGTATCACTATACCTTTCCCTCTGTTCTGCCTGTACGACATCCATTTTCGCCCATCAGCCGATAGAGCGGCCGCGCACGAACGTACCAGCCGCGAACTTCAACTTCGGCACAGTTCTCCTATCCCGGCCTCCTTTTTCTTCCATCCTCTCTTTTCTCGTCCACTCCTCTCCATCTACTTTCGACTTTCTCGCGCGAAAGCCTTCCCGTAACGAGAGGGAGGAACAAACAAAACAAAGGAACGAAACGAGTAAAAAAAGAAAGGAAAGAAAAAGGAAACACACACACACACACACACACAGAGATACACAAGCGGAAAGAAGGGCAGACATAAAGAACAGCTTGCGGAATAGCCGACGATAGCTTGCGAGAACGTCTTGCATATTGTTCCTTGTACGGTGACGACCCCTCCCCCTTCTGTTGACCGACTCGCAGGCGTGTTAGGTCCCTGCGGTTGCAGAGTGCTTCCGGTTTGGCCGGATATGGAAGTAGTAGCGCAGTCTCGATATGTTTCGCGGTTTCTTTGCCGTCGTATAATTGAACGGTCCTCGTCGAGAACGCTGCGAGCGCCGAAAGTCAATTTCTTTCAGGAGACAGAGAAAACCTTCCCAATTTTCAATTTGTTCTAAAATTTGATTTGATCACGAAATATTCTGACATTTGACAACATAGAAAATAGCATCGAAAAGTTTTTCGATCTGGTTGCATTGATATGTACAATGAATATCCTACTTTCTCTGAAAAACGATCAAAAATTTGATATTGTCGCAGTTAAAACGTTGTCGTCCACTACGATAGATATTTTACTTGATAAGAAGCAACTCGAGAAAAGAACAGAAATCAGATTAGAAAGAATAAGATGATCTTGCAGAATATTCAGTATTAAATATTGAAGAATAAACATAATCACGTAGATTATACTTGAAGTATTGAAATCTTAATCGCGCTGGAATTTTATTTGCGGTTCACGATTAAATGATAAGCATTTTTATATTTGCATCAGCATGATCGAAGTTAATCAAATACTTGATAAAATAAATGAACAGCGGAAAGTTAAACTTCATAAGAATATACAATTAATGTATTTAATTGTGTCCATGTAAATAAAAATTTGTTGATTGCGATGAATTTATTGTCTGATAGATTTTACTACTTCCATATATTATGTTAGCAAAGTATTGTTAGCGAACACAGTAGAAATTCGTGTGAGGGTAAAAAAAAACAGGACGATATGAACATTCTATTTTTCTACATCCTACTCTTCATCCTATTTCATCGTAGTATGCCTGAGATTCTGACACGTACTTATGAAGCAGCCTGAACATAGTCGTATATATACATACGTATTTGTGACATTTATAATGAATTAGTTAGCATAGAATCATCTCCGTTTTTGGTAACCGCGAGAACGCGAGTATGAACAGGCCTACTAATTGCTGCCGGGTTTGAGTACCAAAGTAGCATGTGCTTTCCGATAGGTTGCTTTATAGTAGTCGTCCCATGTTTATTCAACGACAAATAGGCCGAACGAAGTAATCTGTTAATGGTACTCGATATGTATATCTACCATTTGCTCTTTGCATCTCCTTTCCTTTAATTGCATCGAATCAAATCTTAATTGGTCGCCATTGCTATTTGGAACGTATCAGATTTCTAAATTTATTTTAATGGCCCTCAGCCTCGGTACTGTGAAATTGTAAAAAGCTGTAAAATTGTGCTGGAGGAAATTAACGCGTTGACATATCAAATGATAGGGATTAATTCTATCAATATAACAAAAATTAATAATTCAACTACTCGCAAACCGATACGGGAAAGACTAGAATAATTGATACGACTGTGTCGCTAGAAATAATTTATTCGATTACAAGCATTTAAATGGCACAGTCTAAAAATACATTTACAGGATTACTCTTGAGAGAGGAAACCTCTCCATTTGATTTTAAATATTTAATTAGTGCTGTTTCTAATATCAAAGTACAACTAGAATCTGCCTCACAAATTGATCGTGTCTATTTAATATTAGATATGTAATTATTATTATTTTTAATATAAAAGTA